CTGCCCAGGTTCTTGGAAATCCCTCTATGAGGAGAGACTCTGAAGAGGAAGAAGAGGTTGCTGCACCAGCACCCAAGGCACAAAAGCTAATGGGTGATGCTATAAAGTCAGGGGCTGCAACATCAAAGCCCAAAGAAGCACCCAAAGCTGCCCCCAAGCCCAAGATTGCACCAAAGAGGAATACCAGGAGTATTCCAGCTGCTAAGAAGAACAAGGCCCCAGTGCCTGAAGTTGCTGATGAGGAAGATGATGAAGGACAAGTCCTGAGGAAGCTAAAGCCCAAGATTCCAGACCACAATGATGCTCATCCTGTGGCTGAGAACATGAAGTTGAGAAAGGATGCAGGACTCGAATTGTGGAGGCTGCCAGATCCATATGCTATCAGGAGAAGAACTGTTGTTGATTACAGGTTCCATACTAAGGAACAGTAGGACTTCTATGAGACAGTGATGTTGGACAAGAAACCAATAGTGTGTGATATGAGGTGGGTCGACTGGACCTACATGAAGGAAAATGAGGAACACTATCCTGGAGTGCAAGACAGTTTTGTTGCTTGTGGAGTTGCAGACTTTGTTGGGCAGAAGCTCACAAAGTGGAATGATGAGCTCATTATGCAATTCTACCCCACATCACACTTCTATCCAGATGGCAAGATAGTTTGGATGTCTGAAGGTACAAGGTACCAGTCAACAATAGAGGAATGGGCAAATATGATCAATGCCCCAAAGGAGAGTGAAGATGACTTGGATGTCTATGCCAAGAAGAAGATGGACCACAACACCATGGCTCACATGTACAAGGAAATTCCTGATGCTGCAGTTGAGACACATAAGTTTGGGTCAGTTCACTTCCTTCTATCAGGGCTGCCAACAATCAACTGGATCCTAAGGCACACTCTATTTCCCAAGTCAGGTGACCACAACATGATTAGAGGGCATGCTATCAACTTGCTACACTTGTTTGATGTGCCACAAAAATTCAAGGTCATGAGCCTCATTATTGAGACCATTAAGAGGACAGCAACAGACCAGAAGAGAAGTTGTGGGTATGCCCCACAGATTCAGGAGTTGATTAACTCAAAGATGGGCACAAGAACATACTTGCTGGATAAGGAACATTTTGCTATCTATCCAGACTTTGAGGACAATCAAGTTATAATGAATGAGAATGAACCATCTTCAGTGCAAGCTCAAGAGAAGAAGGAGAAAGCAAAGAGAGAGAAGGCTGCCAAGATGCCAACTCAAGAGGAGGCATCTGAGTATTTTTTGAAGAACAAGCAGGAGCAGCTTGGTTACTTGATAGCATCAACACTGAGGATTGAGAAGGGGTTGGCCACCCTAACTCAAAACCAGGAGAGCCTTGAAAGAATCATGGAACAAAAATTCTATGATCTAGATGTCAAAGTAACTGAGATTCAGTCAGTTGTGGAGCAGCTCCTGGATGATATGCAGGAGAGGAAGGGCAAGACAACCACTGATGCATTTGCCAGAGTGCCTAGAGGTCAGAGGTCAGCTGCAGTGCCTATGACAGACACCAGAGCCACATCATCTGCACCAGCTACAGCTCCTACAGCTCCAGTGCAACCAGCTCCAGCACCGACTCCTCCAGCTCCATCCACATCAACTGAAGCCTTCGTCCAAGGAGCCATCTCTACACCACCACCTGAAGATCAAGCCTAAGCGATGATCTAGCACTATGCATTTTCTATGAACTTTTTGGTAACTTGTTGCCAAAGGGGGAGAAAAATGTATAGATCATAGGCTTCGAGAGAGAGTGTGTGTGTGTGTTGCTTTTGTTGTTCTCTCTTGATTTGGTGGTTAAACTTTGTTTGCTTTTGATTGCTTGAGATACTATGATATTATCTGTGAGACATTGATGATCACGTGTTTGATCATAAGCTACACTTATTATCTTACCTATCCTTATATGATCATTCACTTTGCTTGGTGATGAGTGCATGTATTCAATCATTATTATTTTGAGCGCTCCACCAAGATGTATGTGACATGGAAGAGTAACCCATGAGCCTAAATCCTTGTGCATTTGCAGTCCAAAGCAAATTTTAAACTATGCACAAATTTAGGGGGAGCTCTTGCTTATCACATACTTCTCAAAGAGATGATGTTTTCCAATCTTATTATCATTTGTCGAAGCTTTGATCTATATGTTGTCATCAATTACCAAAAAGGGGGAGATTGAAAGTGCAACTATCCCTAAGTGGTTTTGGTAATTCATAACAACATATAGCTCATTGAGCTAATGCTATTCCAAGACTATTATTTCAGGAAAGCTCAATGAATGGCATGGCATGGATGATGAAAGTGGATCCCTCAAAATATCAAGGATAAAGGATTGGCTCAAGCTCAAAAGCTCAAGACTCTTCATTTTACATTTTAGTGATCCAAGATCACATTGAGTCTATAGGAAAAGTCAATACTATCAAGGAGGTATGAGGTGTTGCTTAATGAGCCTCTTGCTTCAAGTGCTTAGTGATATGCTCCAAATACCCTCAACTACTTTCTCACATCCTCATATGACCTAAACCCAAAGTCAAAATCGGTCACACCGATTCTTTCTATCCGGCGCCACCGAGTTCAAATGTCATAGCCACTACCACAAACCCTAGGCAAATCGGTCTCACCGATAGGGATCTCGGTCTCACCGAGATGGGATTGTAATCTCTCTGTTTCCCTTCGTAACGTTGCGGTCTAGCCGAAGTGAGCGATCGGTCCCACCGAGATTGCAATGTAAACTCCCTGTTTCCCTTTCGTAACATTTCGGTCTCACCGAAATGAGCGAATCGGTCCCACCGAGTTTACCTGACCAACACTCTGGAAAGCTTATTACCAAAATCGGTCTCACTGAGTTTGTGTAATCGGTCTTACCGAGATTACGTTATGCCCTAACCCTAACCATATCGGTCCTACCGAGTTGCATGTCGGTCCCATCGAAAATCCTAACGGTCACTAGGTTTACTAAATTGGTCCGACCGAGTCTGTTGAATCGGTCCCACCGAGTTTGGTAAATTGTGTGTAACGGTTAGATTTTGTGTGGAGGCTATATATACCCCTCCACCTCCTCTTCATTCGTGGAGAGAGCCATCAGAAAAAACCTACACTTCCAACTTACCATTTCTGAGAGAGAACCACCTACTCATGTGTTGAGGCCAAGATATTCCATTCTTACCATATGAATCTTGATCTCTAGCCTTCCCCAAGTTGCTTTCCACTCAAATCTTCTTTCCACCAGATCCAAATTCTATGAGAGAGAGTTGAGTGTTGGGGAGACTATCATTTGAAGCACAAGAGTAAGGAGTTCATCATCAACGCGCCATTTATTACTTCTTGGAGAGTTGTGTCTCCTAGATTGGCTAGGTGTCACTTGGGAGCCTCCAACAAGATTGTGGAGTTGAACCAAGGAGTTTGTAAGGGCAAGGAGATCGCCTACTTCGTGAAGATCTACCGCTAGTGAGGCAAATCCTTCGTGGGCGACGGCCATGGTGGGATAGACAAGGTTGCTTCTTCGTGGACCCTTCATGGGTGGAGCCCTCCGTGGACTCGCGCAACCGTTACCCTTCGTGGGTTGAAGTCTCCATCAACATGGATGTACGATAGCACCACCTATCGGAACCACGCCAAAAACATCCGTGTCTCCAATTGCGTTTGAATTCTCCAAACCCTTCCCTTTACTTTCTTGCAAGTTGCATGCTTTAATTTCCGCTGCTCATATACTCTTTGCATGCTTGCTTGAATTGTGTGATGATTGCTTGACTTGTCCAAAGATTGCTAAAATCTGCCAAACTCTAAAATTGGAAAAAGGTTAAGTTTTTAATTGGTCAAGTAGTCTAATCACCCCCCCTCTAGACATACTTCAAGGTCCTACACACGTCTTCGATGTCGCTACCACCAGGACAATGTCCGGATCTAGCCGGCCTCAGCACCATCTCGAGTCCCATTCTGCCTCACCCGACACCAAACAATCTGAGGAAAAATCATCGGGAGCTGGCCGGGATTCGTGCAGCGAGTTGTGCCGGCCGCTCCATCTCGCCAGCAAATTGTCGAGCGGAGTTTGTGTTGGTTGACTCACGAGGATTGAGGGGAATGAGAGAATGGGTGAGGTGAGTGGGAACTGATGGCTGTCGGCGAGGGGAAGGAAAATATATATTCATTCAGTTCCCACTTCCCATCGAACGTCCCCAGGAGCTGACGTGGAGCTAACTTCGCGTTAAGATCCGTGCTTAAAATCCAACGGGAGTCAACGCGTTCGGCGGGAACCCTTAAAAATCTGACGTTCGATGGTTATCTTTTTCGTTTTTCTTTGTGCGGGGAAGAAATTCAAGGGAGAGAAGGTGTGCGATGGGTGCGGGCGACAGTGGGGTGCCGTGACATTCTGCGTAGGAAAGGGAAAAAGGAACCCGAGTCGCGTCGGATGACGCGCACTGCCCGAACAACACGATTGGGGTGCGAGACCAGGTGCTCTTGAAGACGTGCGCTTTTTCGCTAAGTGCCAGTTTTTTTGGGCGGCTTGAAAAATAAGCCGCCTCTTCCCAGCTTAAAAAATAAGCCGTCCCTAATTTTGTTGAGATTTCTAAATCAGTTCTCTCGTAACTAGTTTACAAGCCTCAGTGAGTAAGAGAGGCGGCTTGTTAGGAAAGCTAGGGAGAGGAGGCAGCTTTTTTTTAAGCTGGCAAAAGAACTGGCCCCAACGGACACTGTTTGCTCGTTAAACGTGTCCGTGTTTCTTCTAAATGATCAGGAACAGCCGACATGGATCCATTTAATTGGTTCAGGTTTCAATCCCCGGTACAAAATCAAATATATACTGTACATAGATAGTTCCGTGTTGTGTTATGTATACGTACTCTCGCGTAAGCAGCTGTGTGGTTGCACCCGCAGGGGTATATATGTACACACGACCGACACAAGAATTAATCACCACACACCTGCATATGCTACTACGTACAGTACAGTACACACCGCCGATCGAGCAAAGTAATCTGCTCAGAACATGAAGAACTGGTGCTTGTCCTTGCCACTTCTCCGGCCGCGCTGGTCGCCCCCGCGCGAGGACGACACCGTCGCCGACGAGGACGAGGGCCCGCCGCCGTAGCCGGGGATGCGGCGGAAGCCGATGTTCTCGACCGCGCCGACGGTGTTGAAGAACATGCGCTTGTTGAGCTCCTCCACAAGCGTCCGGTGCAGCAGCTGGCTCCGCACGTCCACCATCGACCGGTTCCTCGTCATGCGGCCCTGCTGCCTCCGCGGCCGCCCCTCGTCGCCGCCGGCGTCGGGGCTCCCGCGGTGGTGCCGCGGCCGGCCGGCGCGCGACGACGACACGTCGTGTCCTGCTGTGCCGCCGTCTCCTGGGCCGAATCTGGTGGCCTTCACCTGGCCCGTCTTGGAGACGCCAGGCTTCTCTTCGGGCTGGGCCTCTTCGGAGGAGTACTGCAGCGCAGAGCGCGTGGAGCTTGTCTCGTCGTCGTCGCTGCTCACAGCGTAATCTACACCAACCACAATAGGACACGTGTCATGGCTCAACGAAGGGCAGCAAAACGACCACAAAATTGCAACTAGTCAAAGATAGGGAAATATGTGCTCCATTATGCTGTCCTTTCGCCTTCATCAAGGATGACTATGATATATCCCATTTCCACATGCTGGGACGTGACATAAAATATGTGCTTTTTATCATGTCAAATGGATATGCTAGCAAATGGGCATATGTAGACAGCGACAACCGCGTAACGAATACTTCCTCCGTTCCCAAATACTTGTCTTTTTAGGCATTTCAAATGGACTCAACATACGGATGTATGTAGACATATTTTAAAGTGTAGATTCACTCATTTTACGCCGTATGTAGTCACTTGTTGAAATCTCTAGAAAGACAAGTATTTAGGAACGAAGGGAGTAGTATATGCATGCCAACACCACATGCAACAGCCATACAAACCACAAGGAGCCACAATGGCCACAGTCGCTGATGCATAGCCATAGCCCATAGGTACATAAATATCAATATGTCTTAGACACTGATAGGGTCTTTGATATGCATGCCAATCATCTGTCTGGTAAAAGCGTATTACTGAAAAAATGAATTTTATATTACGGAAAGATCGTTACAGACCTAATCGGTACTCTTTTGATTTATTAAGCTAAATAAATGTTTTTGTATCTATTAGTTGCCACAAGTTTCACTCCACACTTCCTAAAAAGTGTAACATGTAGTTTCAAAAAAAAAGTGTAAGCATGTAAGAGCATGCGCAATGCTTGGTCCTTATGTAGATGCTTGCAGTTGAAAAATATATCAAAACTTCATGTTAGTGCCCTCTCTTTCAACGCTAGCAGCTAGTACATGCACTAATAAACTCCATAACCTGTGGTCATGGCCCCTAAGTATTTTTATACCTCCTAATGCAAAGGAAAAAGGCCAACGATGGACTCCATCTTTTGTGATGATGCCACACCAATTGCAGAATTTCTTGACACAATTGTTGATTGGCTGGTAATTCTATCATAGCGCCTTCTGCTAGCCCTATGCATTGGGCATTCCCTAATAAAGGTCTAGTGGAGTCGTCGCATGATACTTACTTCACCTTTTTTTCTAAGCAGAATATAGAGAGATCAAATTTTGCATTATGGTTGTCATTTCTTAAAACTTCTCCACTGTGTGCCTTGATCGCTTCTTAAATCTAAATGAATTTTTCAGTCCATTGTATCATCATCTAACTATCATTCACAACACACAAATATAACACGACTAAAGATTGCATTAATATTTCACCTTTGTGCTTAATACTCGTGTGCAATCTAATTTAGAATTCATAGTGTGCAATCTTGGATTACTTAATACAAGAAATTTAGGTAATAAAGAATCCACAAACCTTACTTTCTAGTATGTAACCATGTTAATATATTGTAGCAACTAAAATTGCACTTCAGATTTATATTGTAAAACTGTATTTAAGAAAAATTTAACAATACTACTTTCACATAACCAATGTAATATACCACATGGAACATTGGTGAGTAATCTAAAAAAAAGGTTTATATGTTGCACAAAATAGTTGTTCAATTAATCTGACTGCATGCTTCTAAAGTGTGGTCTATATATTCCCAAACAGAGCTACCTACTACCACATAAATAATTACTGCAATCTGACATTGTATCAACATCTAACTATGTTCACCCACATAATATAACATAAATAATTGCATTAAGATTTCACGTTTGTGCTTAATACTTATGTGCAATCTAATTTAGAATTCGTATTGTGCAGTCTGAGATTACTGAGATTCAACAAATTTTGATAACCAAGAATCCACAAAACCGTACTTTCTATCATGTAACTATGTTTAATATACTGTAGTAAATGGCAAAATCAATAAGGCTACTTTCACATACCTGACGTTTATATACCACATGGCACACGTGGTGAGAAATCTAGAAAAAAATAATTATATGTTTTCACATAATAGTTCTTAAAATAAATCTAACTACATCCTCTTCTAAATAAAGTATGATCTTTTCCTCAAAAAAATAAAAATAAAGTGTGATCTATTCCAAATAGTTACTATGCACTGCCCTAAATATATTACTCCGTCCTAAAATTCTTGTCATAGATTTGTCTAGATACAGGTGTATCTAACACTAGAATATGACTAGATACATTTGTATCTAGACTAATCTAAGACAAGAATTTTGGGACGAAGTATAACGTATTGCTTTGCATGATCTTCAAATATGCAATTTAATACATTAGGCATTACACATATCTAAGAAAAAGTTTAAACAAAGATTAAACAACTAATCATGATATATCCAATTAATAATATCATTAAGGGTGACTTCTTATTATAAACAGTTAGTCGACAAACATAGTGCTCTAGCTAAATCCTTTTTTTTTGTGTGTGTTTTTTTTGCGGTTGCTCTAGCTAAATCGTTGTATCTATGTTCTTAATTTCCTGTCATACCCCTCTAAAAACTTCTTATCGCACCACCATTTCAATTGTAAATGGGCCTTCTAATTACTTTTTTAAAGAGGGGATACTAATTAACCCCTACCTGTGCAATCGGTCTTCTAACTACTGATCAAATCAAATCAAGTAAAGTAGCATTGCGATGCTGACATATGATCACAACTCAAAAGAAGAAGAAAAAAACGTACCTTGAAACCAGCCACCGTGGCCGCCACCTGATGTTGTCGGCCCTATGCCACAATGAGACCCGTTGGAAGAGGTCGGGGAAGAGGAGAGGTAGTAGAATGGAGGCTGCTCCTCATTGTCGTCATTATCCGCGTACGTATAGTACTCCTGCTGATCATCACAGCCACCGCTGACCCAGTCCGGTACCAGCCTCATGATCTCCTCCTCGATCATGGCGGCGATCTCTGAGGGGTCCCGGTCCGTGATGTCCAGCTCCTTCACCATCTCCCTCGCCACCTCTGTCGCTGTATCGCCGGCGATGTCGAACGGGAAGTAGATGTTCCTCGAATGGCCTGATCAGATCAACAATTAACCTTGTCACCTTGTCAGGTCAAGATTTCCATGTACATACGTACGTATGTGCTTACTTGTCTGGGAAATGTTGCAACGTCTGAACGTGTACCTGCTTCGTCGACGATCTGCACTTTGAGGAATATGGTATCGTCGTCGGTGTTGAGCTTGCCGGTGATGGTCATGTCAGTCCTTGCTGCCGCCGGCTCTGCCTCCTCCGGGTTATCCTTCCGGTCACCGGAGGTGGGCAAGGCAGGCAGCAATGGCGGCGGTGACAGCGTCATGGTGGTGTCCTGCGTGGAGAGGAAAGGGTCGAGCAGGAGCTCCTGGGCGGAGGGGCGGTGGGAGGCGGGGACGAGACACCTCCCGATGAACCTGCGCGCGTCAGCGTCATCGACCCGGTAGAAGGCGTCGGGCAGCTTGCCGGAGGTGACCTTCTTGTAGATCTGCGCCGGGTTGGAGCACTCGGCGTAGGGGTACTCGACGGTGAGCATCTCGAGCATGCACATGCCAAAGGAGTAGACGTCGACGAGCTCGTCGTAGTCCTCGTCGTACATCTCGGGCGCCATGAACTCGGGCGTGCCGATGACGCTGTGGGCGGCCTGGGCGCCGCGGAGCACGGCGGCGAGGCCGAGGTCGCCGATCTTGACGGTTCCCTGGTTGCCGTTGACGAACACGTTGTCGCACTTGAGGTCGCGGTGGATGACCGGGGGGTCGTGGGCGTGGAGGTAGGCGAGGCCCCGGAGGATCTGGCGTGCCCAGCCGCGGACGGCGCGGAGGCTGACGCGCGGGTATCGGAGGCGGTACGCGCGGAGGGTGCCGGAGGAGAAGAGCTCGGTGATGAAGTTGAAGGTGCGGCGGGGGGCGCCGCCGGTGCAGCCGCCGCGCGGGGAGGGGGAGGAGACGGAGACCCACGAGGCGTGGAAGGCGATGATGGCGTCGTGGCGGAGGGTGCTGAGGAGGTGGACCTCGGAGTACATGCGCTGCAGCGCGTCAGGGGTGCGGAGGACGTCGGCGAGGTTGGCCTGGTTCCATGCCACCTCCACGCCGCGCACCTCGTCGAACCCCCTGTACACCGACTTCATCGCCCCCTTGCCCAGGAGCTCGTCGAACTGCATGCATGCATCACATTTCCAACACAGATCAACCTTCCCATCCATCAGCCCCAAGAACAACACTTACCAAAATAAATGTTCTGAAGTTGTGTTAAAGCTGCGACAAGTAATATGGATCGGAGTGTGTAATATTAATATTTCCGTGTGTGTTTTCAGGTAGTATAAATTACATTCATAATTCAAATTAGAATTCACACTGATTGCACGTAATATGACCGTTAGTGCTTCGATATGCCAATTTCATGTTAACAAGGAAATACTAGGATTAAAAGAAAAACCAATACGTAGACTAACAATACAACTACTGTACACAACTGTGGAGAGAGCACTGAAAGGACAAACATGAGTGACCGCTACAACTTCATCCACTGAGAAATAAAGGTGAAGGATATCTTTGGGGGATACTGACAGGGCATATTATCCCGTTGAAGCTTTCAAAGCATCTCATTATTGGCATATTTGACGCATGGAACAATCCTCACCACCAATCCATCACTCATCAACCAAACCCAACTTAGTCCTAACCTAACTAGGGGTCTCCAACCAAACACAAACTCTTCCCTGATATAACTTGGATTAATTAGATTAGAAGAGAAATCACAATGAAATTCTCACCTTCCAAAACTAATGGTCCACCTTCCTCAACTATTTGACCAGGTATAGAAATACCATATCGATGATGTATTTCAATGCAACAATTTCTATGATTGTTTGCATGCATTAGGATATGCTAGCTCCCTCCATTCACAAATATGAGATGTTTTGCATATTTTAATATAAACTAGTACATTAGAATTAAAATGAGTGAACAAACACACTAAAATGCGTCTATATACATCCGAATCAGAAAAAAGAAAGAATATCTTATATTTGTGAATGGAGGGGGTTAGCATTTAATTAATATTCAACTGGCCAGTTCATATCCGGACGGTTTCAGGCCTGCTACCGCACAAAGAAAAATTGGCTGTAAACATCTCGTACGTGGTCGCCAACGGGCAGCAGGTGAAATTCATCAATCAATCTTGCATATATACTCCAATTGAAAAGCACTTAGTTTGCCAATTAGTGGACATGTACGTACGTAGTTAGCCACTGAATTGCACACGTAGTTTGACTGTAAACAAATATAGAAGATGTGCAGCTAAGCTAGCTAGCCCTAGCAAGGCAACAAGAGCCAAATGGACATGTAAAGAAAAGAAAAAGGCACAATAATTGTGGCCTTGTTTAGGGTAGCTCCCATGTACACATCAACACGGCATCCATCCTTGATAATTGAGTTAAGCATTTGAAAGCCCACAATCCTATTCAGTTCATGGTGTAGTTGTAAGCATGTTTGACTCGAACCCAATCTAATCTAATCACAAGAACATGCTCCTAACAAACACAAGAAAAAAAAAACCAAGAACACGAAGCTTGAGAAATTGAATGTAAGCAAGCTGCTAATTGGTTATTATGACTGTTTTAGGTTGCGCGATAAACTTAGCTGAAGCGATGAGATCGAAGAGGCAGAAGAGATGGAGAGCTTACCCGGCCGTAGCGACCAGTGGGGTCGGTCTCGACGTATCCATTGTCGTTGTTCCTCGCCGCCGGTGACATCTCCGGCCGCCGTGGGCTCGACATGGCTTAACTACTGCTGCTCTACTAGCTAGTACTGTACTAGGCTCCCTGTGGCTGTGTGGATGGATCAGTAGGTGATCCTGCTGGCGGCTAGCTTGCCGCCGTGATAGGTGCAGAAGACGCCAGAGAGGAGGCGCGAGTCGTCGATCCGCCGCAGCATGATCCACGCCGCCGCAGACGACGAGGAGGAGGTGGAGGAGGAGGATGACGCCCCCGCAGCCGCAGCGTCGTCGAACCACGACCGCGCGCTGCTCATCTGACGCTGACAAGGACGGGGCGGTAGTAATAGGAGGAGGTGGCGAGCAGGGGCAGGGCAGGGCAGGTTGAGTGCTGGAATTGGATGCCTGACCCAGGTCCTAACAAACTGAATGCTTAAGGGTGATCACCTTCAGACTACGTCTTAAGTCATACATAATCTATAATTAGGATAAGCTATGATTCTCTAAGAACATACGCTAAATTTGGCTCGTGAATACCACGCAACTGTTGAATATGGATTAACTGTGACAGGCAAGCAGGAGTAGTTAATTAGCAGAGCGGGTGCAAAATACGAACATCTCTTTGACGTTCGACATTGGTTTCTTTTTCTTATGCAACTTTTTGGCGCGTTTGGGGAAGAGGGAGAGGACTCGACACTGATCCTGATGCAACTTCTATTTTAACTGGTGCTTGGTTTTTGACCATTCGAGCTATCGAAAAGGTTATATGAGGAGCCAAGTTTCTTAGAGAGGATACTAAAACCAACACCAAATTGCGTCAATCAAACTAAGCTCTAGAGAGAGAGAGAGAGAGAGAGAGAGAGAGAGAGAGAGAAACGTTGGAAGGATAGACTCCAATAATTGAGCTACCAAACTTTATTCTACACGTAAGCACTTGTACTTCACCCACCAAAAGAGCATATAAAAAGGGGCATAATTGGGAGTTCAAAACAGCCAGAATTCAAGGTATGATCTCATCATTCTGCAAAAATAATTGTCATCCGCATGGAAATACATATTAAAAATAATATTATTGAGAGAAAGATAGTCGTTTTATTTTTGACCGACTACACGATTGAACATATCGTTGCATCCTATTCAAACATGTCACTAGACTGACTACATGACTCGGATTCTAGTTGCATTTTGACTTTACGCTTGAAAGTGACATGATATAACCACACATTTCTGCCCTACGCGCTCGTTTCTATGCAAAATCACAAGCAAATCATACTCGACATCACACCGCCTTTTCCAACATGAAACAGAGCTAACAGTTGAGCATAATGATGTTACAAATCTAAAATAAATAAACAAATCTAAAACAATTAACAACAATGATAAGGCAAGGCACAATACGAGCAAAATTTCTTTCCATGTGAAAGATACAGAACGCTGACAGAATGTATCAACTGCAACTCCAAAATCTCATATGCAACGCCTATCCATTTCTAGGCAGCTAATGTTACTTCAGGCAAGGGGTCTTTCAGTTGCAAGTCAAGACCCAGACAGATTAACACTACAACGGCGAGCTCCCGAGCAATCCTCGAATGCTCACAGGGTAAAAACAGAATGTCTAAACTATCTCTTTTCCTATCCATCTTTGCATCCTGTTCCCCACTTAAGGGGAACGCCAAAACTTTAAAGAAAACGAAAGGAAATATATTTTTTGCCCCCAAGTATCTACAGTTCTACATGGCACAAAATGTCCTGTTTTCCAGGAGGGGTAGGGGCTGAAACTTCGGTTACTGCAGGGCAAACTTGCATTGTCGCCGCCGCATAAGGTGAATCTGATGACTGGAGAACCAAGTTAGGATGTGCATGATGATGCTTGACTAGAAGAGAAACCCTCTGCTATGGCTGCACTGAGTGTGCGCCACACATCAGTATCTTCCGGTTGAATCAGAAAAAACAACAGCTCTGCTATGCGGTAAGCCATATATGGCGTCAACTGGATAGTGGTGGGAAATCACCATTGTCCTTGAGATGATATGGCTTACTATTCCTGCAAATTGTGTAGTGTAGGATTATTAAGAACTGTAAATGTTGAAAACACACATAATAAATGAGTGAGGTCACACAGTGAATGTGGTAAAACCAGAGAAAAGGAATGCATTTTCAAGCTGAATAGATGTGATTCAAGGTTACACTAACAAAATGGACGGTTTCCATATTACAAATTAGTGTTCTAGTGTGGGTTTCGCGTGGCCATATCAATATTTTTTGCTGAAGCTACAACCTAACACTGACCTTAATTTCTGTTTAAGAAACTAATAATTGTGGTGTGCCTCAATAGTCATTGCTGTAAAATAGTAAAGAAATAGGGATTAGCTACACGTCCCTCTATGAAACAGTTGACTTTATTGCTTTTGATTACTAAAAGGATGCATCTTACTTACCTCATTACATTAGATTTATAACCCGTTCCAGGATTTTGTCCAGGAGAGTTCGATCTCAGGGTTGCAGAAGGTTTACTGTCAGAAGCAGAATATGGTCTGTTAGCTTGATTTTGGGAAGCATTCCTAACTTCCATGTGCAATGCCCCCAAGGTCCCAAACTCAAGTTTGCTGTCATGTGGATGAATAAAGCCCCTTCCATGAATATTATCCTGTGTAGAATGGGATGATGGTGTTGGTATCTTCAACGGAGAGGGAATTCCTTTATCATTTGCAACAGGAACATAAATCGGCAATGGTGGCTGTTGCCTCAATTCCTCAGAACGTGTCATATCTGCAGGCATGTCCACCCTACCATAACGGTGATGCTTTTGATAATTATTCCGAGGGAAATAATTCTTTCTTTCCCCTCGTCCAGTGGGTGGTGCCTCCATGCACAAATTCTACAATATCCATCAAGCCAGACAACTCAGATAAAAAACAAGACAGAGCAGCACAAACAGCACAAATACAGTGCCTAGCCTTGAGAAAGTAAAACTGTTCTGTAACAGAAACATAAAACTAACAGGGATATGTTCATGAATATGTATTTACAAAAGATATGGCAGCTCCAGTATCACTTTAATTCAAGCGCAGGAGCATTAGTAAATTATTCTTGCAAGCATTTACATGCATGATACATGGAATAAAAAGGCATTTAGGTTAATACAAAATTCAGTTTACTCGAAATGCACTTTCAAGTTGTACAAGCAGAATAATGGACAAAAAAAAGGGAACATACTGGGTTGGGGAAGTAGGTGACTGCTCCATGAGGTTGCATAGGATCCTCAGTGCGATAAAACGGCTTTAAGACGAAGTAGCCAGGTGAATAAGGACCAGGGGCCATTCTGTTTGCACTGGGATATCCATAAGCATTTTTTCTGTTATGACCATTCAGTGAGTGTTTGTTCTGATATTGTACAGGTGGCGGGGCAAGCATTGGATAGTATGGATGAACTGGATAGTCTTGGTGGCAACTCTGTGAATAGAGGAGATTGTTAAAATTTGTTCTGTAATCCCCTGTGAGATCTGATAGATTGTCAGTGGTGGCACCCCGATCACCATCCGCCTCTTTGTACACCTTTGTTGACATCCCATTGCTCACACTAACAAAAGAACTAGTTACAAGATGTGAAGCAGATTTCATTTCCTGGTGCTCACCGCTAGAGCTATGTTCCTCCTGCTTCAGAAATCCATGATTATCTGAAATGTTGATACTACTAAGCTGATAAGATAGATCCTCACAGGGATTACTGTGTAAAGGTGGATAACCCTTGTTGTCTCTTTCAATGTTCAAGTTCACTGCAGTGCCTTGCACATCTGGGCGTACCCTGCCGAGGTTTCTCTTCAGTGTGCTCCTGAAGAACTGATTGACTTCATCCACGATAGAATTGGCAGGAACTTGAAGGATCTTTCCAAGCTTCCGGGCACCAAGATCAAAAGCACTGCGTATTCTGTAAAAGTTACCTGGGCATTCAGCAGTCGAGTTAGGCCCAGGAAATAAAATCAAACTAAAGACTATGTCCATGAAGTGGTTTGGTGCACATACGAAGAAAGTTACGCGTGTTGATCAAAACAAGACCACAAGTACACACACAACAGACAGCCATTCAACAGCACATTTGCAAGTGAGCTTAGTGGAACTGCATGATAAAATGGCAAAGAGTTTCCTTGTACACAAACCATAAAATGAAATCCGATAGCCGATAGAAGCCAATTGCATGCAACAGCAAGCAGTGGGAAAAGCAAGACAGTCAAAACAGCACTAGTTGCAGTAAATCAGTTAGTAGTGAACTATAAGAGGAATTAGCTCGGAAAACGTCGATGGAAGAACAGAAAATTGGGACAAGCACGTATTAACCGTAACTCTGGACGTGGGAAGCCCATTTCAGCCAGTCATTATGCGAACTAAACTATCTGTGATGCAAGTACATAAATTAGGGGAAAAGAAGTCAAGCAACACTTTCCTTTGAATAGCAGTGTCAATCATGAAAATATGACATGAATATGAAATCAAAAACAATTTCGCATCACAACAACCAAGTTAACACATCAGCTTTTCCTAAATTCCCTATAGTTGTGACATAGTTGAAAGCATAATCATCCTTTCTACCACCAAAATAAATGATCTGGAGGCAGAAAACAGACCTTTGCTGACACTGCGCCCGAGATTGTTACTCTGCTTCAATGGATCCACTATGTTGAGAAATTTTCGAGGGAACGGGCGTGTATTTCTCTCATAGTTCCTAGGGGGGGCAGTAAACATTTGAGCACATTCTCTTAGAAACTCCTCCCGCTCAAGAAAACAATCATTATGAATGCCTGGTGGGTCAGCTGTGCAAGGAAAGCTATGTGATTAGCAATTATAACACAAAACATTCAATCATACACAAAGATCAGGCTGTGTACACTTACTAGCTAGCTCAGGTAGGGAAGATAAGGAAATAGGACCATGTAAGCTTATACCCCTGTTATCCCAGTCAAACTTGCTATAATAGTCCAGAAACCTATAGAGTACCTGCGGAAGAGCAGATAGTGATGTCACCCTTGTGAGTCTGTGCATCCTAAAGGAGCTTAGAAATGTGACAAA